ATTTTCGCAACTTGCTCATATTGGTAGGAAGACTTAAAGGAAGGCACCTAGCCCGGAGTCCTTTGTATGCATGATAATTTCCAGAGTCGGACCGTGAACATGGTACATGTCCAGACCTTTTGCCGACATCGTAGTCGGTATCGTCAGTGAGTCACGCCACTCTTAGCAACACAACAATTCGTCAGAGACAAGAATTTTCCTATAAACTCGAAACTTACAACTTCATATTTTACAAAGGATTACAGATACAGAATCGCCTCGGTTTTATTCACAAATCTAGAGGGATTTAAGTCGTGAATGGTAAGTTCAGAGGCAAATAAGTTACTCTTAATGCCATACGACCCCAGCTTCGTTAAATAACATCAACGGATATGGCTCTCAAGGTAGGTAAAAGCTGAGGACAAGTAGCAATTAAATTGCTGCACTTAAATGATTTGGTTACTGAACTTGCCTGAATGGAGAGAATGTGACTAGTTAACAAGTTGGTAGTTATATATATTTAAGTAAATGAGTCATGTTCCATGAAACAGTTAAACAAAAATATTTTTAGAATTGCTAATTTCTAATCTCTATTTATCTGAGGACCGGATATTTCCGATCGACTGCTACGAAAAATATAGTAATTAATGTATCTTACTCAATTGTGGAGCTGCCAATGCCTTAATTACATATGAATATATCTGAGTACGTAAGGAATGGACAAATGAGTATAAAAATATATTAAATGTGGTAGGATAGACGGATAGAGTAGTATCCAAGTGGATATCGTGGGGCCTAATACAATTCTTATAGGCGAAATTGAAATGCTCTTTTATTCCGCACAGTTTGATTTGGAAAGTATACCTTCATAATCCGGATTTTCCAACGTTTGAAGAGGCCCTATCGGCTCTGATGGCCTGAATAAGGCCTTTACTCGGCACTCGATATACTGTGTAGAGCAGTTGGCTTTGATCGCCTCATTTTCCAATGGATGGCCTTGGCCCGCTTTAGTTTCTGATGTCTTCACATCTAGTGCCGTTTTAGCTGACCGAAGAGTTGCATTTGCATCTTCGTCTTCGCGATCATAACTTGTGTGGAAGAGCAGCTGTTCATGTGGCCCAGCGTTTAGGCTAGAATTAACCCTTTTTCTGGACATGTCGATCCGTAGCTGACGGAAGTGCTGGCCAGGACTGGGAGCTGTAGGAGGTTGCCTTTCAAATACTGAATTACAGAAATAAGAAAAGGAATAGACAGTTAAGATTGCCTAAAGTTGTGTTACATGCCTAAATATAAGTGCATGGTATAGACAGTAGTTGCGGATATTTTTTTTCGAAGCCTTATATAGGCTGATTGATGCCGAGGTATATCAGAATTGACTGGTCTATACATTCTGTTTTTGTGGCTTACAATGACTGTATGCAAGTACTGTGGTACTTATACCAGCCAGGATGGAAAATAAAATATAAATTAAGCAGAAGGTATGAAGACGAAGATGGTATGGCCTTTTGTGTGGTCGCAGTCTCCTTTCGTTGTATAGAGGTTGT